CTGGAGAATTTAGCTCAGACTGGAGAGAATCTCAATAATGCTGGATGGTTGAAGAAGTATCCAATCACACAAACACATTTTCAAAGTGTGTATAGAAAATTACAGTACAATCCTTCCAAATATACTCAAAATCCAGCAGACACACATAGTTGATTGGGAAGATGTTTGGATGCACAAAACTATGCTTTTTTAAATGAAAAAAAGAGGTACAAATAAATCTGATTTTAACAGTGCAACAACTGCTGCCCCCCCCCATTGGCTGCCTGAGGCCACCATAGAGGCCTTGTTAGGCTATGCCTGAAGGCCTGAGACAGTGTCTAAACTGAGCAGAAGTAGTGAGTCAAAGTGGGAAAAAGCAGACATCTCTGCATGTGGATTTGAGCGACGTGTCATCTCTCCCCAGCATAAGTACCAAAGAATGGGAAGACATATAGGTAAATAAAAATTCTCCTGGGCATGTGGAGAGTGGCTTTTCCTTATAAATGTAAAACAACAGCTGTTGACCCATTGATGCAATGGGGAAACCTGCTGGCATATGGGGAGTGCTGCAACTGCACATCTGCAGTTGTGTAACACAACCAGAAATCAGCCAGCGCGTCTCGTTCCCCTTGACAATTTTTTTTTTGACCAGTCGCGTTCGACTCTAGGGGGCGGTGCTCATCCCCATTTCCAAGCCACAGAGCCAGCATTTTGTCCGAAGACAATCTTCCGTGATCACATGGCCAGTGCGACTTAGACACGGAATGCTGTTACTTTCCCACCGAGGTGGTCCCTGTTTATCTTCTCGCATTTTGCATGCTTTCGAACTGCTAGGTTGGCGGGAGCTGGGACAAGCGACGGGCGCTCCCTCCATCGCGTGGGTTCGATCTTACGACTGCTGGTCTTCTGACCCTGCAGCACAGGCTTCTGCGGTTTAGCCCGCAGCGCCACCATGTCCCTTCTCGTTAGCTATAGAATTGTTCAAAATTTGAAAAAGCAAAATGCAACCACCGAAGTCATTTTGGAGCTGAAAGCTGGACACATTCCAAAATCAAAGTTACATCTGAAGTTACATAAGGCATTTATAGACACGGGTTAGAATCCTGTTCCTTAACACCAACTGACATTGAGTCCAGTGGCCTTAATTTCAGATAGGGAATCACTGTCGATTAAGAAATTGAAGCTGCACTGCTCGTTGTGCGCCGAGTCGTTGCAAGCGGTGTGTTGTCGGAAGCACAAATGCCAGCTTCTTAACCAGGCGTAATCTGCTGCAGATTTATGTTTACCAATCGATGTCAATAGCGGGATTCGGCCCATTACTTTTGAAAAGGAAAGAAGAGAGGACATATTTGAAAAGGAAAGAGGAGAGGAAAAAAGAATCAGGGATACTGGGAAGTCTTGGGTACCGAGTCCCAAAGTCCCAAATGTTCTCAGAAAACTTAAATACATAACATCTCGGAAGTCTTTCTTTAAGATCTTCATGTTCTATAGTTTGAATACCATGTCACAGACATCTTATTTATCACTGAAAAAGAAACATATTCCACACTCCATATTTTTTTCAATTTTTCCAGAAAAAAAAACACCTTTGGGAAAAAAAGGAAGAAAACACCCTCATTTCCCCCCTAATTTTTCTGTCCTCCCCCCCGCCCCAGGCCTTCCCATCTCTAGCCAAGACCC